TGCCCAGAGCCCCCTTCGTGGGAAGACTGGTGGATGGGCTGTTTGGGTCACTAAAGGCAGAGAGCCCCTGGTGGGCCTCTGGTGGCCAGTCCCTTGGGGACTTTTGAGGTCATCCCTCCTCAAACCAGGCACACACGGCGACACATCCACACAGATGTGTGAGGGCCCAGCCAATGACCAGCTCTGGGCCATCCTAGCCCCTGAGATCTGCGTGGTTCAGCCCAGGCTGCCTGAGGCCTACCTCACAGCATGAGCTCTTACACTGCCCCAGCCAGACTCCTTCTGCTCTCCCACAGTTACTAATGCCTGGGCGAGTAAATATCCCATCTGCTCCTCTCCTTCCAGAATCTGCTTTCTGAGTAATCCAGTCTCAGTCAGTCTGTTGAACACTAGAAAAGCCTAATATCTTTATGGTTTTAATATCTTCTGTCTCGGAAGAAAAGTAAAGAGACCAGAAATCTAATGAGAAATAATGGATAACTGAAGCACTTTCATATTGGTTAGAAACAGAATCAATAGAACATATATATAACATGTATAACACCATATTCATATTATATATAATATATATATGTAAATATTGTCCTAGTCATTTTGTCGCTGAAACACAATACCTTAAAGGTATTAAACACCCACAACTTAAAGGAGTTTATTTGGCCTCATCGTTACAGAAGTTTCAGTCCATGGTTGGGAGGCTTAGATGCCGGAATGGCAGGATGGAAGGGACTACTGCAGAGGACAGCTGCTTATGTCGTGGAGGACAGGAAGCAGGGATGGAGGGGAGGGGCTGGGAAGGGAGATGCACCCTTCCGGGACACAGCCCCAGGGGCCTCCTCTCTGACCGGTCCCACCTCCTAACGTCACTTTCAGCTGTAGCACTTTATGATCCAATCACCTCCCAAACACATGAGGCTTCGGGGGAACATCCCAGATGTAAGTAGTAATAACTGCATGAGTGAGAGAGAGAGAGAGAGAGAGAGAGAGAGAGAGAGAGAGAGATGATAGATGAAATTAGGCAATGGTTTTATTTGGAAGGCTTATAGAACCAGGCATGGGAGACTCCACCATGGCGGTCTGCATGCTGGAAAGCCAGAGGATTCAGGAGCTGCTCAGCCTGAGACGCATGAAGCCACACATAAGAGGAATCAGTGCAGCCAGCACAAGTCCAAGACCAAAAGCCTGGAAGTTTCTTGGAGAGTCACTGCTGAGAGTCCGAGCTGAAAGGCAGAAGAAGCAGGAGTCTGATGTGCACCGGTAATGGGGGAAGCAAGACATGCACTCATTCAAGCAGCACGGAACTCTTCAGATACAGGCGACTTCCTCCTCCTTCCGCTTTCACTCCCTCCGGCTGCAAGCCTATTGGTGGTGCCACCTACAGTTAGGCAGGGCCGTCCCCTCAGTCTGCTGGCCCACATGGCAGTCATCCCTGATGCCCTGCACACACCCACAACTGTGCTTTGCTAACCTGATGGCCTTTCTTAATGCAGTCAAGCTACCGATCACGATAACGGTCACAACTTATCATAGCCCACTGCAGCTGCTATAAGAAAATATCTTAGAATAAGTAGCTTATAAACAACTGGAATTTATTACATACAGTTCTGGAGACTGGGAAGTCCAAGATCAAAATGCCAACAGATCCAGTTTCTGGTGAAGCCCTCTCTGTTTCAAAGATGGTGCCTCCTAAGCATCTTCGTGTGGCAGAAGGTGGCCAGGGAGCTCTCTTGGGGCTTTCTGTAGAAGGCTGAGGGAACCTCAGTAACTTGCTCACTTTCCAGAGGCTTCACCTCCTAACACGGCCACAGTGGATATTATTAGGTTCTAATAAATGACTTGAGAAAACACCATATTCAGACCATAGCAGCCCGGCTGCGCGGTGCACAACTTAGGAAAGTAACCTCGTCACACACTGCATGCTATGTGGCATCTCATCGTGGGACCTACAGTTTTCACAGCTTGCCCACTCTGACTTTGCTCATGGCTGGGAGCTGTCCTACGTCACCATCACTGCCTGCATGAGAGCAACATGATGAGAACCAGGACTCAGTCCTGCAGATTAGATTTCTGCTTCCAAGGAGACTGAGTGATGCTCCATCCCGACTTCCAGTTCTTCCCCGAATGCTATGCATTAAACAAACAGAAGAAGAGCTGGAAAGGTGGACATCTTGGGTGACTCCAGAGAATTATTCGAAGCGAAAAACCACCTCAAACTGTTACAGACTATATGGGTTTTTTTTTCATTAAGTTTATTGATATATTCTAGGCACACAATACAGATCTATTCATCATTGGGAACTGGTACCTTACATCTTGGTTATTTTTTCCCCATTCTCCTGCCCTCCCTTCAACCCCTCCAAACTATACAGTTTTATGTATACAACTTCCTCCAAATGGCAAGGAATTTAGAAATGAAGAACAGATTCTGGGTTGCCAGGGGTCACGAAAATAGTATAATCAAGAAAACATGTTTAAATTTTTTGATTTTATTGCAGTAAAAGACACCTTGCCACTTTCCCGCCCCCCAAAACAATTCTGCTTGTCTCAAACGCACTTACTGTTGCCGCTCTCAGAAGCAGCTCGGAAGCCCTCCTTCATGAGTGTCTTCTTCAGCTGTCTGTCTCGTCTGCCTCAATGTCCTGAACTAATTCAAAATGTTTGCCTTTAATAGTCATTTGCGGTGGAAGAGCCAGAAGTCACACGGTGCCATTTCAGTGAAAAAGATAAATGAGGCCTTACAATACTGTTTTTATTTGACAGAAATTTCTGTTAACATCTGATCGGTATGGCGTGATGAAAAACAATGTAGGGGTCACGAAAATAGTATAATCAAGAAAACATGTTTAAATTTTTTGATTTTATTGCAGTAAAAGACACCTTGCCACTTTCCCGCCCCCCAAAACAATTCTGCTTGTCTCAAACGCACTTACTGTTGCCGCTCTCAGAAGCAGCTCGGAAGCCCTCCTTCATGAGTGTCTTCTTCAGCTGTCTGTCTCGTCTGCCTCAATGTCCTGAAGTAATTCAAAATGTTTGCCTTTAATAGTCATTTGCGGGGGAAGAGCCAGAAGTCACACGGTGCCATTTCAGTGAAAAAGATAAATGAGGCCTTACCATACTGTTTTTATTTGACAGAAATTTCTGTTAACATCTGATCGGTATGGCATGATGAAAAACAATGGTAGACGAATAGTTTCTCTGATGTGAATAAACTGTAATAGTACATAAGATCCTAATGAGGTGACTGACATTGTGAAATGGGAAGAAAAGGGCTAAAGGTGTAGGGAAGGTGGGATGGGTAGGGGAAGGGGAATAAGGGAAAAGAAAAAATGTGACAAAATGAAAAGATGGAAATAAAGTGGTTGTAGATGGGGAGGGGAGGAGAGGTGAAGGGAGGGCAGGGACAAGGGGAAAAAATGAGAACCAAGACCTGTCATGTAGAGGTACAAGATCCCAACAATGAATGTAACTGTACTGTATCCCTAAAATGTACCAAAAAACTCAATTAAAAAGAAAAACAATGGTACATGTTTAAACCAATGTATTACAGTAAAAGACATAGTACCCTTAATCCCCTCAAAATATCTACCTGTTGCTTCAGACACTTTTACCCCATCATTCTTGACAACGGGTCCTTTATTGTACTGAGGTTTCAAAATTGTAATCATGTACCATATTTTCCAATCACCCTTTCTGAAAGAAATTATGCGGGATCCTCATGGTTATGGGAATTCTCTGTACCTTTACTACTTTAGTGTGCATGTCCTTCCTGAGATGTCACACCATTTTGCAAGATGCCCCCACTGAAGGAAAGCAAGTAAAAGGTTCATGGTTGTTTCTATGTTAGTACTTCTTACAATGGTTGTGAAACTCCAGTGATCTCAAAATAAAAAGTGTAATTTTATTAAAAAAAAAAAACTCTCTCGGGGAGATGTTAGCAATGAGAGAAAAATCTTGTGGTCTAAGTGGAATACGTCTTAATTCCTAGATGCTCAGTGGTTGCAGGGAGGGGTTGGAGAATGATGAATCGGATATGCTGGCAACATTCCCAAAGTCGGCATGAAAAGTAAGTCAATTCTCAGATATGAATTTACCATCGAGCTAATAAACTTCAAGCTTCGGAGCTAAATTTAAGCTCGCACATGATCCTTCTGCGGCCCTAGGATACCCCCTGCAGTCTGTGGGCGTGAGTAGTATCTGTAAGATATTACCCAATATCAGTGAAGATCTTTATCTCTCCTTTTACCCCAGTTTTTCCACGTTCCATTTCTTTTCATGCTAGGCAGTGATGGGAGGACTACAGACATTTCAGGGATGGAAGAAGTTGAATAGGAGAAACAAGTAGTTTGCTTTGTCAGTTGAGGCTAACGAGGTTATGCAGCACAGTCGTTTCCATGACTAAATTGCTGCTGGCCACCTCAGGATAGGCATGCTTCATGGGTTTCCCTGCCACCCGATGTGCCACTTAACCCAGGAGCATGGCATGAAGGTACAGAGTCAGAGGTCAGACTCCACCCCAACTCTATCTGTGACCCTGCTATGGACTGAATCGTGTCCCTCTGAAAGTCTTGTGTTGAAGCCTTATCCCCCAGTGTGACTACATTGTAGGTAGCACCTTTAAGAGGTGCCCCGATCTGTTTTCTGTGACCATAACAAAACACTTAAAGCTGGATACTTTACTTCAAAAGGACTTTGTTTCACTCACAATTCTGGAGATGTCAGTACCTGCTTGGTTCCTGTGAGGGCCTCTGGCTAAATTACAACATGGCATATGATTTCACAACAGGAGTACATGTGAGAGGAAATCACAATTCAAGCCAGGAAGTTGATGGGTCAGAATTAAGGACAGGCTCTCTCTTTCATAGCAGTTCATTCTTGGGGAAATCAACTGTGCTCTCAGGAAGTACAGCAACCCACTTGGAGGGTAATGCACCCCAAATACCTAGTTACCTTGCACCAGCCCCACCTCTTAAGGGTTCCAGCGTCCCAACACCACCTCTAGAATTAAGGACAGGCTTGCTCTTTCATAGCAGTTCATTCTTGGGGAAATCAACTGTGCTCTCAGGAAGTACAGCAACCCACTTGGAGGGTAATGCACCCCAAATACCTAGTTACCTTGCACCAGCCCCACCTCTTAAGGGTTCCAGCGCCTCCCAACACCACCTCACTGGACACCCTGCTTCTGTGCTTCAAACAGCAGCCAAGCCACGGCAGAGGTCATTGAGATTAAGTAAGACCATAGGGACAGAACCTTACTCCAACAGAGTAGGGTCCTTGAGGAGGAAGAGGCACCCAGATGTTCATACACAGAGACAACGGTCGTGTGAGGACACGGGCAGAGGCAGGCCACCTGCAAGCCAAGGAGAGGCCTCGAGAGAAGCCACATCTGCCACGAGCTCAATCTTGGACTCATAGCCTCCAGAACTGCAAGACAATAAATTTCTGTTGTTTAAGCCACCAAGGCTGTAGCATTTCATTAAGGCTTTCTGAGAAGACTTCATCTAACACCTCAAACATGGCCATAGTGGAGGAAGAACACGGTTGGGCAGGTGTGGAGCCAAAAGTTCAAAGGGATAAAATTATAAGCAGAGTGTTCAGTTATGAATCCAAGTCCAAACAGAATTGCTCTTCTGTGAAAACAAAAGCTCAAAATATGAAATGTTTACAACACAAAACACACCCTTCTCTTTATGCAAGTCATTTAAAGTAGAACTGATCCTGTGTTTTAAGAGGTCAAACAATAAGTTCTACAAACTCCTGAGTGGTTGATGTCTTCTACAACCCCATGCATGGGCTGGCACCGTTTGTTACTATGGTATCTCACTCACCCTGATGGAAAATGTCAGGCCGAATCCAACCGGCCCAGTGCAATCAGATGGAGAACCCAGAGTTCCAGTGACAGAACTGCTTCTCACATGAACAGTACCTCAGTGAATACAGCGTATGAGATAACAGTTACATATCACATAGCCCAGTGGAACAGGATGACCACAGAGTGTGTAGCCTAAAAGATGGGGAGAAAAAGAGTCAGGGCTCAAAATCAGTTAATGAACGTCCATATGCTATTGTTCAGCATTTTGTAATATTGGTGGCATTTGATAACTTTTTATTAAAAAATTTGACCTTTCACTTAAAAATGATTTAGAAGCCAGGCATGGTGGCACACACCTGTAATCCCAGCACTCGGGAGGCTGAGGCAGGAGGATTGCTGTGAGTTAGAGACCAGGCTGGGCTACATGGTGAGTTCCAGGTCAGTCTCAACTACATAGCAAGACTAAGTCTCAAAAACAAAAAAAAGATTTAGGATACTTGTTTCTCTTTCATCATATTCTTTTCTCTCTTTTTTTGTTTGTTTGTTTGCTTTTTTGAGACAGGTTCTCACTATGTAGTTGAGATTGACCTGGAACTCACCATGTAGCCCAGGCTGGTCTCTAACACACAGCGATCCTCCTGCCTCAGCCTCCCAGAGTGCTGGGATTACAGGCATACACCACCACGCCCGGCATCTTTTCTCTCTTTATCCAACCTAAATAATTCATAAATAACTACTCTGATTTTGTATTTGTCATTTAGTGTTCTGTTTTCTGAATGCCTCTTCTGCCCCTGAAGTTAATAAACTCCACTGCATCTGAGTCTACCTAATGGTGGACCAAGTAAGAGCCCAGCAGCAGAGGCATTTGCTTGTTTTAAGTCACAGGGCATCACCACTGTCTTGGCACACAGAACAGCTTTGGGTTGAAGATAGATTTTTCTATCTTATCAGAAATAGTAGATATTTCTGTTTGAGAAAGTGACTGACGAAAGCCAAATTTTGGATATGAGGGGTTTTGTGGGGTTTTTTTGGGGGGTAGTAAAAGTAAGCAGTTGTTCACCTACATTTTTCCTCTTAATTTATGAACTTTCTCAATCTATGGCCAAAAAATATAAATCTAATGTAAAAGGGCTCTTTCGGCACCTATAAAATAAGATTTTACAGTGATAAGGCAGTTGTTGGGAGAATTTTCTTGACACTTAAAATAGTCAGATTCACAGGCAAGGGCCTCACTCCAGTCTAGCATCACCAAAGAGAGAGAGAGAGGGTGGGGAGAGAACTGAAGAAAATCTACATTTATTTGGTAAACTACACGTGTATAAATTCACTTTAATCTAGAACCTGGGGTAGTGATTCCACATTTCCAGTGTCCCAATCAGGAATCTTCACTGCAGGAATAATTCCTCAGTCAGTGTCTGAGACACTTTTTACAAGCCTACAACATTGAGCTTTCCGCTACTACACTGTGGCTCTGAATCAGTCTGTTAATCAGCAAAAGACGATACACGTGGTTTTTGTTGGTTCAGGTAGGTGAGCTGTCTAAAATTCCTTCCAGGCACCCCTACCCAGGTATGAGCAGGACAGAGTCTGGTTAGCAGGCTGAATTGATCCCACTGATTGCTAAGTGTCGGTCTGTAGCTTTTTGAAGAGGCTAAGGACAATGAACTTGGACTTCCCAGAGCTTCCACAGGCTGGTTTTGTGCTACCTTGTTAACAAAGATTGTTTGGGTCAGAATTCATTCTGAGACTTGCTTTGTTTTTGGTGTTTACTAACGATGTTGTAAACAATAGGAAGTACAGCCCTTCCCATCTGTGGGAGGCCATCTATAGCCACAGAAATCACAGGACTGGGCTAGACTGACCCATCTGCTGCTGTAAGCCTTCCCGGAGTCTGACCTCCAGTCACAACTGTCACCTCCCAACCACAGCCACTTCCACCAGGGAGGAAAATACTGACTCAAGAGCGTAACCCAAGTCCTGAACCTTCATAATCATAGAAACATCTCTCCTTGGCACAAATATATGAAGAAAATAATGTTGGCATGGTTTAGCTTTTAGAAATTCATTTAATTTTGTCTCAGGTAATTAGTTTATTTGTCCTCTGAAAGTGACCCAAAACCTATCCATTTGGAATCTATTACTCACAGACATATAATGGTTGCTAGGCAACATCATGCATTGTTATTTCTTCATCTAATTTAAAATTCTCAATTCACAGTAAAGGTCTTCAGAGAGAAGTTATTGTTCAGGGTGGGCCAAATACCATTTTTCACTGTAGCCCATTCAATTTAGAAAAGAAATTACAGTGCACTGTTTAATCAACATAAAATGATTTGTACAGAACATTTAACATCTTCTTGAGGGATAGCTGTGTTCTTTGCTAATCATATCTACTTAATTTATTTTAAACTTTCTGAAGGAGATTTCCTTTCTCCTTCAATCTTTGCTCTTTTTCCCAGTCCCCTAACTTTCAGGCCAATTTATAGCTACTCTTTGGTATGGGAATTGGGAGATGTGGGAAGGAAGACTCAAAAATACAAGCTAAACTCTTATCCTGCAGTTGAGTCATGCAAAAGGGGCCTCCGAGTACAGCCGTCGTCAGAACGAGTCACTTCCCAAAATTCCAATTCCATTCAAAAGAAGATGTATTTAACATTGCTGTTATGTGATATCAACGCTGCAAAATCAATAAGTTGGAAGTTCTGACTGTCGTCAGAACGAGTCACTTCCCAAAATTCCAATTCCATTCAAAAGAAGATGTATTTAACATTGTTGTTATGTGATATCAACGCTGCAAAAATCAATAAGTTGGAAGTTCTGATGCTAATCTGGCTTTGCTTCAAGCATCTTGAGAGAACATGGCGAGGTGTCCTCCCAAAGGATAGGATGTCACATTTCTTCATTTGCCCAGGAATATTTCCTGACATTGAGATTAACTTCTTGGCAAAACTTGTTGGAAGGAAGTACATTTACATAAAGCAGGCAGAGGCATGAGCATTGCACATGTTGAAACATCACAAGAATTGGGACATTAAAATATTGCTTGGAATCTGGAACAATCGAGAATAAAACCCCAAAGTTTGGGCTAATGAAACAAAAGAACTAACAAGGTGAATAAATGGGGGAAATATGTAGAATATTGTAAAAGAAATGGAAGTTGATTGCCATAACAATATGGAGAAAATCTGATTTTCTTAGCAGTAAAGTCTTGCAGAACAAGACTGATTTTCATTGTTCTGTAACCTTTCTAAGCTTCTTGGCTTGGGCGGGTGTGCATGTGAGTAGGGAAGACACTGTGTTGAGAGGATGTTTAAATTACAACATAATAGGGGGCCAATAAGTTACTGGGGTGGGGGTTGTTGGTTCTTGGCTCTTGTGATTTGTTTTTATTATAAAGGCTGTGATGTTTTAGGAGCAGCTTATCACACCAGAAAAGAAACTGGGGAAGGAGTTGACATTCAGCAAAGAGGCTGACTAGGGTTTGCTGTAGACATGAGGCTCAGTGTTCCCACAAGAGACAACCAAGCACACTGGTTAAAGAACCAAATCTACCTGGGTGCAAATCTGAGCTGTGCTCTTTTAACCCCGTGACCTTGGACCGACCCACGTACCTTCTGTACCTCTGCAGGCCCCTTTGTAAAATGGACACAGTAAGAAGTTCAAGCCAGGGATTTAGCTCAGTGGTTCCATTGCCTGTCTTGCAAGTGCAAGGACCTGAGTTCAATCCCTGGAACAAAAGAAAAAAAAATTGAAGAAACTCAAAATGTCATCATGAAGATGAGTTAACACACAACAGGGCCAGCTTCCTGGGTCACAATTTCTATAGCCCCTTGCCTCTGTCGTCGTCTCAAAATTCTTAAATCATTTTTAAACAAGAGATGCAGTATGTTCATTTTGATATGGGCCCCAGAAATTGTGTACAGGTCCCTAAATCCAAGTGGCATTTATGACAAAGAGCCTGGCCCAGCATCAGCATCAGTTATTATCTTTATTACTACACACACATACTCACACACGGATGCCTGCACGCACGTGCGTGTGCACGTGTGCGCGCGCACACACACACACACACACACACACACGCACGCGCGCGCGTGCTCATACTAATTTAGGAAAGCTTCCAGGACCCAGATCTGATTGTGAAGTTGGAATCTTAAGGAGAAGGGGGAGCAAAGGATTGGTGGAGAAGCCGGCCCTGGGTGTAGGATTCTCACTTCTGCAGTTTCCCACTGACAGAGCAGGATGAGCACAAGGACTTCCCAAGGGGACGCGGCCACATCTGAGCTATTTTTCTTCCAAGTTCGAGAAAGAAGTACATAAGCCAACAAAATATGCATTGACAAGGAATTCTTGAAGAATCCCTTTCAGGGACTAGCTGATGGCGGACGATGGGTACTTCAATTATTTACACATAAACAGGTATTTTGAAAGTATGAGAGATTGTCTAAAGATATTTTATCCTTTTAAGCGTTTAAACATCAGGCCTGCCTTGTCATTCTCGGGGTAAGAGAACCATGCAGATCCATGTGCTTTTATGTCTAAATATAAACAAGTTATCAGGCCAATAAACTTCTAAATAAATCACATTCTATTCTCCTCGTACCTTGTTAAATGCACCTTCAAATGACCCAGAGGGTCAAGCTCAAGTTTGGAAATCCTTTATTTTCTGAAAGTTGCTACGCACATGTGCGTAAACACTCCTGCCCTTATCTCCTAGCTCCAGCCACCTCTCCTTCGTGTAAACCAAAAAATCCCAGCCACGCACAGGGTCTGGGGACACATGCACACCGGTGCCCTCCAGAGGACAACGAGACAAGACTCCTGCATAGTCCTTGGAAGAGGATCAAGTCTATTTGGACAGGAAATCCCAGGGCCTGGGACACCACCAGAAGGAGACAGAGAAAGCAACACAGGGGGCAATTGTGAGGCTGAGTTCTGTACCCAGACTCCTCACCTGGTAAAGGGGCATGGGCAGAAGTGAGTGAGGCCAGGCCCTCCCAGCACACACTGCCCCCGAAATCTTAACCCTCACTGAGTCTCTCCTTAAATAAAATTAGGTCATCTGCATTACGCTGTCACAAACTCCAAATAATTATGCCTTTGTGCACAGAGACATCCACCTTTTCTAGAGTCCAATTTGTGTTTCCAATTGCACTCCCAATTACCCCCTCCATCTCCTGCCTGGCCTTCCAATTCCTTCCAGCCAGCAGCCTCCAATTCCACCTCTACCCCAAATAAATTTCTTAATCTTTAACTTAAAAGGTTAACACACATTTGCCAGCTGCTCCCCTGCAGTCACCACTGAAAATTCCAAACTATTCCAGATTCACTTCCCAGTGATGAGACGGGGCACCTTCTGCAGGAGTGAATAGGTCCATTTCTCTCGCCGTGCTATACCTAAAGTGGGAATTTGAGAAACGTCGCTATTAGTATGAAGATCAAAACAAAAAAGGGAGAGGGAGAAATATCACAGCAAATGGAGCCTATGGGTGTTCTAAATTTAGCTGTCCTCAGGGCTAGTACTGAGAGTCTAGGGACCCATTAGAAAATCCTTTATCTGCCGTTGCCACTTGTATCTGACAAGTATTGACTTGAGGTGTGTTTTGAATAAACAATGCAAGCAAAGCCTTGGGCAGGGCTTGACTCCTAAGTCACTGTTTAACATGCTAGAAAGTTGACAGGACGCTCGGCTCACAGTTCCGAGATGGGTGCTACCTTTTCAGTGGCAGTGGATGTCTCCAGCAATCCCCTCAGCCTCTCTCCCTACTCTGTAAAGAGTCACAGAATGCTGGGCTGGGGGAAAAAAAAGCTCTGTGAGACTCAAGTTTAATGCTCCAGCTTCGCCCTTGAAAATACAGAGGCATGGGGCTGTAATACAACACACCAGTGTCACACAGACCATGGAAGAGAAGTCGCAAGCTCCCTCGGGAGTGGTTTACATGTGTTCACTCACAGGGCCCAGCTAGGTCTAAAAAATCTCAGCTTTTTAAGATGAAAACATTTTAGTAAAACCAGCATCTTAATCAGGACAAGCATGGTGCTCACCCTTAGATCCTTCATGCTGGAAAAAAAAATTAGTGGTGTTATTTTTAAAAATCAAGTATTTTCTATTCACTAGGAAATCAACAGGATAATAGCAAGAAAAAAAGTGGCAGATGACCCAGGAAGAAGGCTGGAGAACTGTGTTCTGGGCAGGGTTCCAGAGCATCCCATGGTGGGCCATGGACAGGAGTTGCCAACTGACCTCAGAGATTTGGCTGTTTATACCTGAGTAGTTCCAACAATGACGAAAAGTCCTTGAGTGGCTGACACAAAGGCAACAAAAAGTCTCCCCTTGGAAGAAATCCTAGCATTTTCAACTGATAATAAAACCGCACAGCTGCAGGGTGATGCTTTGCTACACGTGTGTATCGGATAATGTTCCAGTCAGGTGAAACAATCCTATAAATCCTCAACTACTTATTTCTGTATGATGAAAACTTTCAAAACCCTTTGGTCTAGCTTTTAACTGTAACCCAGCTATGCAAAAACATAGCAGAACTTTGTTCCCTATCTAACTGCAAATGAGTCCCTGCTGATCAAATTCTCCCCAGCACTGCCCCAGCCAATCTCCCAAATGCCCGTAACTGCTGTTCTACTCTCACCTTCTAACCATCTGTCTAAAGGAAAGAGATAGACTTTGGAGGGCAAGTGTATATTTTAAGTTTCTTATGTCTAATCAGTCACACTCTGAAAGACCATAGCCTGTGACGAGATCCGGAGACACACAGACCACAGAAAGAGACTCACGACAGGTGGCTAACATTCCACATGGGGTTTCAGTTTCGATTTGTGTTCTTTGCTGAGTCCTTCCAAAAGCCAGCCTTTCACTGGGGATGCGTCTTAAGTATTTTAATTAGTATGGACATCATACTAATTTATTTCATAAAGAATTGTTAATAATTTTGAGGCCATGACTGAGCTGTCCAGAGTGTCAGGCGCTGGTTGAAAACTGACCCTTGTTCTATTGACATGAATGAGAGGTAATAGAGCAAGAAGTGTCTGCGGTCTGGACTATTGGCTGCAGGTTCCCAAGTTGGCCAGAACTAGCTGGACTTTGTCACCAACACTGTTCTTCTACTTGCAGCACCCTCTGCCCTGCCTTGAATCTGGGTGCAGGTGACACACTCCTACTCATCCTCCAGGATCCCTCCTTGGGAAGCCTTTCAATACTGCATCCTGGATCCTTCTCACACCAGACCATCACAGCCTGTTGGCTGATGCACTTTCCTACCCGACTACATCACCATGGCAAGGGTCTTGTTTACCTCTTTGTGCCCAAGCATCCAGCAGAGGATCTTGGAAGGTGGGATATCAAGAAACATTCATTGCCTGAGTACACAGTACAGTAACAGTCAAGAGGGTGCATTCCACTCGGGTTTTTTCCAGTAAAAGACTGGACACACAAACTAGCTCATTCAAGGCTATGTACACAGAAGGCTCACAGAATGTTTAAGATCCCCAGCTTGCGATAGGAAGTGACTGAGGCTGTGAAAGCTTTCTGTCCCTCCTCTCTCTCTCCCTGTGTGCTCCTCCACTCTAGCTTTCTTCTCCCCAGAGTGCCGCGGCTGCTTCAAGCCCAACTCTACTTGACCTTTGTCTCCATTACTTAAAAGCACAGATGTGATTCAGGAAAATGCTCCAAGTCCACCAGTCTTTTCAAGTGCAATGTGCTCAGCTGCAGATGGCTGCAACACACCTAAGACACTTCTTGGTGGCCGCCCATCAAGGAGGAATGGTCCACACTCATTGTCGGGCCTCTTCTTTGGGTCTATAGGCAACAGACCCCAGTATTCAGTTTCTCTACCATCTCGGCCTTGACCAACCCTTCAAAGAGCCACAGCTGGATCTGTGCCTTTTTCCCTCCCATTCACTCCCCCACACTGTTCCCAGGAGAGAGGGGACGTCACTCCGTGGCACTGCCTGGTACAGAAACAGTAAGCCGTGGCATACAACAAGCATTCTGGTGGTCAGTCCACCAGACTCCCGGCCAGGACCCTTGTCCCAGGAGTGATACTAGTGGTGGACTCAGCCTACTAGGAGTATTCAAGCTTTCTGAAAATCAGAATCTTGAGAATGAAGAAATCAAAACATCTTTATTTACAGATGACACATACCTACCTAGAAGACCTAAAACCTCCAGACTCCTAGAACTAAGAAGCAAATTCAACAAGGTAGCATGGTACAAAATCAACCTACAAAAACCAATAGCATTCTTTACACCAACAATGTACCCACTGAAAAAGAAACCAAGAAAACAACCCCATTCACAATAGCTTCAAATATTAAATACCAGGTGATTAACCTAACCAAAGAAATGAAAGAACTCTACAATATAAACTACAGTACTCTGGAAAAAGAGGTTAAAGAAGACATCAGAAAATGAAGACATCCCCTGTGCCTGAAGAGGCAGGACCAATATTGTTGAAATGATACTACCAATAATGTATAGATTTAATGCCATCTCAGTCAAAATACCAACTGCATTCTTCACAAAAATAGAAAAAAAATACTCATAATTTGTATTCAGAACCAAAGGAAATCCAGAATAATAGCAAAAGCAATTGTGGGCAATAAGAGCAAAGCAGGGGGCATCACAATCCATGATTTCAAGTTTTATTACAGAGCTACAGTAATTAAAAAAAAACATAATGAATGTAACTGTACTGTATACCTAGAATGTACCAATAAACTCAATAAAAATAAATAAATAAAATAACATGAAACTGGCACAAAAACCGATGTGTGGGTCCATGGAAGAGGACAGAAACTCCAGGCATGTGCAGCACTCTGATCTCCAACAAAGGGGCAAAAAATATATATGATGAAGAAAAGATCACCTCTGTAACAGGACAGCTTGGAAGACTGACCACCAACATAAAGAAGAGTGACTCTAGATTCATATCCATCACCTGCACTAAAACCAAACCAAAATGGATCAAAGACTTGGATATAAAAACAGAAACACTGAGTCTCGCAAAAGATAAAATAAGCAAAACCCTTGAAGACGTAGGCATAAAGCATGGACTCTCTGAACAGAACCCCAATTGCACATAAAGCAACATAAGAATCAATAGATGGGATCATAGAAAACTAAAAAATTCACAGCAAAGAAAACAACCAATAGAGTGAAGAGGCAACCTATAAAATGGGAAAATATATAGAATATGTTTTAAAAATTAAACTCCCTCCACCAAAAACTAAAAGACCAAATGAAAAATGGGCAATTGAAATGAATAGACACTTATCAAAAGAAATACAAGTGCTGATGGGTACATGAAAAAAAAGTGTTTGGTGCTGTATCTTCAGCCATTAGAGAAACACAGACCAAAACAACACTTATTCCAGAAAGAATGGATATCTTTAAGAACTTAACAAGAAATACTAGCAACGTTGTGGAGGAAAAGGAGAACTTCTACATTTTTGGTGGGAGTGTAAACTAGTGTAACCACTATTCAAATCAGTATGAAGATTTCTCAGGAAGCTAGAAATAGAGACTCCATTTAACCCAGCTATACCTCTTCTGGGTATCTCCCTGAAAGACTTAAAGACATCATATAGCGATACAGGCATACCTGTGCCAATAGTAGTACAAGAACATATGTAGTACAAGACCATATAAAATACATAAACACATATTTGTGGTATGTATCTGTAGTGGAGTTCTACTCTTATAAAGAATGATAAATTTGAGTCTGTTGTAGGAAAATGGATGGAACTTGAGACCATAATATCAAGTGAAATAAAGCAGATACATGAGGTTAAATATTGTATGGTTTCTCTAATGTGAGAAACCTAAAGTATAAATAATTGGGTATCTCCCTGAAAGACTTAAAGACATCATATAGCGATACAGGCATACCTGTGCCAATAGTGGTACAAAAACATATGTAGTACAAGAACATATAAAATACATAAACACATAAAATATTTGTAGTATGTATCTGTAGTGGAGTTCTGCTCTTATAAAGAATGATAAATTTGAGTCTGTTGTAGGAAAATGGATGGATCTTGAGACCATAATATCAAGAGAAATAAAGCAGATACATGAGGTTAAATATTGTATGGTTTCTCTAATGTGAGAACCCTAAAGTATAAATATATTAAAGAGCAAAATAAAAGATACATGAGAGTGTTGCTTTAATTTGTGCTTCCTTAATGGCCACAGATGCCAAACAGGGAGTAGACTTTGTGGGGATCCAAAGGGAGCCTGGGGATGCAGGGATCATGTGAGAGCAGAGGAGAAGAGGGAGCAAAGGGGATAAAGGCGCAATATGTGTATGTACCAGTTTCCCAGGACAAATGTATTTGCTATCATCACAGACATTCTCATTTTTAGAAA